TGGAAACCCATCGCTCTAAATTGTTCCCTCCTAAGCATCTGATGGCAATGAGATTCCCGATATTTATACCCCCATATAATGGTTGGTTATATCCCATCAAATCACATTGTGTTGCCATTTTGTCTACTTAAATCTCAATTCTGTTGCCATTGGTGTTGCTGAAATTCCATTTCCATAAAATCCCAGAATACAAACATGATCTCACCCTCCGATTTCACCAAAAGATCACGATTTCAAAGCCACCATTTATCCATTTCCATCATTTTCCAACTTTTTCCCCGAGATTTTCACCACTTTCAACGCTTTCCCCCATCCGCCGTCCACTTGAAAACGGCCAAGCATCGGCGTCCAGATGTCCACTGCGCGCGGCCCAAGAGAGCGGCGTGTCGCTGTGACGGTCCAGGGCATTGACCTCACGGTGCCAACAGTGAATGGTGAATGGTGATGAATATAAAATATGATCCATAGTGGTTAATGGTTATGGTTAATAATGAATGGTGGTGAATCATTGAATGATTATTACTAATACACACACATATATATATATATGGTTATTTATCTATAACATAGCTAATGGAGATGGTAATTTACAGATAATTTACCTACTAGATGGTTGTGGTTAATGGTCATGGTTAATGGTTGTGGTTAATGCCAATATGGTTATTCAATGGTTCATGTTCAATGGAATGAATATTACTAATCATATGATTATGGTTAATCATTCAATATCGGTTAATGGTTATGGTTAATTATGAACCATTGAATTGGCTATTACTAAAATACATACATATATATACACATTGGAAATAGTGAATTATAGATAATATATTATATGGTTATATATATATATTAAATGGTTATATATATATATATACACATATGTATGGTGATTTATCTATAACATAGCTATTGGAAATGGTGATTTATAGATAATTCACCTACTAAAATGGGTGATTTTCCATAGCTATGTTAGTTTACCAGAGAGGAATTCATATTATTGAGGATACCGTTAGATGAATCAATCTCGGTTAATGGTTATTCAACCCTATTGAGATAACACCATTGATATTGATATTATTTCCCATCAGCACAGACAAATGAATATTAATTACTGGTTGGTGGTATACCTACCCCTCTGAAAAAGATGAGTCAAATGGGATCATTGTTCCCAATATGATGGGAAAAATAATCCAAATGTTCCAAACCACCAACCAGATTACATGGCTGCTTCAATGTTCGAGTTGGACATGATTAATTGATTTATAGATTGTACTATCAGCCTACATGATTCAATATCATTGCATTGTGAATAATCATTCATATCATCTTCCAAGTGAACCCATCAATCACCAAATCATAATTGAAGCTTTACCACACAAATATGGTGATTTCATATGATCTGATGAGACTTAATGCATATATTGGGATATATTTGGATACATAGCCACCCCCTGTCATAGAAAAACAAGTTAGAAACCTGGACATTTTCGCAACCGTTTTTTCCAACCCAATTAAAGGTGCTTAGCCTGCTTAGCGTTTTCCACAAAGGGCTTCCCTTTCGTGCAGCTGCCAACAGTGGCAGAGTTTGCGCCCCTTTTCTTGATGCACACCGGTACAGCCATTTGTCGTAATAACATTCATGACCTTTTTTGGTGACCTCTATGAGGGTGCCGCCTCTGTTCTTCTCGCAGAACTACAGGGATTTCGTGAAGTCTCCCTGCCATTGGGTCAGCGTGCTGCGCCAGTTCCACAATTGCCCCTGCAGCATCAACTGAAGATTGTTGGCTCCGACGCCGCGCGCGAATAAGGTAGGGTGGTTGTATCCAAAGCTGCTGGCAGGAATTTGGTTCGTGGCTTCCTGGAAGACCTGCAGACCCAGCGGGGTTACCTCTATTGATCAGCGCGGCATTTTCCGTGTGACAATTTGATTCTGGAACTATTCCCTGGTTCAATGTTATACAAAGTAATACTTGTTTACAGTTGAACTAACATTGAAATCATTCAATAGGACTTAGATTGCATTAAATATCAACTTCCACATGATTGTCAAATGTGATTGAAATATGGGAAGCTGACCACTTAAAATAAAAAACAGTGTGATCCAGATGTTAGTTCTTCAGGCGGTAACTTCTCTTCCTGAGGTCCGGGGAAATTTTCACCAAGTCGCAAGGATTTTCTTATTCGTTTGGGAGCCTTTGAGAGGGCGAATGATGTCCATGAATTCATGTAATAAACTAATTACCCAGACATATTGGACATCTCCATACTCGACATAAAGATATAAAATGTCAAATGCTTGCGTTTTTTCAAAATCCGGATGGTGCTCGGGATAAATTCAGAAGTTTTGTTAAGTGTCACGAAAAGCTTGCAGGAGACCCAAAAGGTCACCATCGGCGATCTTTGTCTGTGCCATGGTCATGTTGGATGGGGATTGGTATTCTCATCCTACCATCATACTTGTGGTATATTGACTGGGCAAGATGATGCCCCCAGTCATAAGTTGATAAACCCGGCGAGCTATAGATATGTAGTCAACCCCCTGACAAAATGGCTTATACATAGATAAGAAGAAAATGAAAATGATGATGATGATGATGAGGATTTATAAATACATATAATAATAATATATCTGGGGCATCACCCAGACCAGAGCCTTCCAATACCCTTCCAGCCATTCACCAGAGGCTGATCAAATCAAACAATAAATCCCCCAGGATGGTGCCCTCTAAATACATCGGGGTGAAAACCACCGTGATTTTTCACCATTTTTTCTGTATGAAATCCACATGGAAATCCCCATGGAATTCATGAAACCCTGACATCCCCCTGAAACGCCTCTGCCTTTGACTCCACTAAGAGCTCAATGCTGGCGGCCTCGGTGACATCAGCATGGCTGGGGTCAATTTTTCATCGGCAAAACATCTATTTGGGCGATATAAATCACCATTTAAACACTATAGATGTTTAAAAGCCCATTAAGTCAATCATTTTTCATAGGCAAAACATGGTGGGTTTAGAACATGACCACATTTTTCACAGGTATCATCCCAGCAACTGTGGTCATTTTTAAAGGTGATCATGGGATTTCCTTGGGATTTTCCTATTACAGGATTGGGGATATAATAGGATATATATATATATGTCATGGGTATCAGGATGATCCTCTTCATTATCATGGGATGATCATGATTATAATGAAGATAAGTAAAGTTTTTTCATAAGGATCAAGCCACAGAAATGCGTCAGTACATGTAAACTCATCAAACATTTCTAATTGCAAGATGGTGGGAGGGGATATAGTGAGGATATCATGGAAATATACTCGGATATATCATGAGGATGTAATGAGGATGTCTGTTAATTAAATTTGATTTGTGGGGATATACTGGGACATCTTCTATGGATTTAAACAACAAACACGGGAATATCATCGGATATCGTGGGGATATCATGAAAATTATACTGGGACTCAGCCAGTGATCTTTGTTGGTTTCAACGCCCATATACCTATTATATACATGTATCATTCATACATATCTATCCAATCAACCCTAGTTTTTGTAATTATGAACCGACTTAGCTGTCTTGCGGGCCCCCACATTGCAAAACATGGTTAGAAATAGGCGGTTTTCATAGGTTGCAATGAGTGGTTGATTCCCTTAATATATCCTTTCAAAAAATGGTGGTGGTTGGTGGTTGTTGGCACCCTAAAGATTTCTTGGTCACCAGTTGGCTCAATCGTCAAACTAAGACGCCTTTTTGGAGCTCTGGGATGGCGGATGTTCAACTGAGGCTATGGTACAAGCATCCCATCCCTCATCCCCAAAGTATGGTGGGGGATGAAACCACATCTGACCATGGAATAGGAGTGCTTAACATGAACGCAGGGGATTAGGTTTGACCCATCCATTTCACACTTTAAATCTCTGGACATTTCAAAAAGAAACGGCTTTTGTTTTGCCCAAAAAAAAGATGTTTCTTCTTTCGGTATACCAAATTTTCAGACACATTCATATGGGCATGAATCGAAGTTGGGTACCCCATCCTCAAAAACTTGGTGGCCGCCTTGAGATAGGTAGACTAACTGGGATTCAACATGTATACACCTGTAGTTCAAAAATATGGATGCTTAGTGCAAAACATAACCAATCATCCCAACCCCTAATATTAAACACCCCCATTCTATGGTCCTAATTATGTGGTTTCATTCCCTACTAAACAAACCATGGTTTCTAATTGGGTGTTAATATTAGGGGGGGGAATCACAAGCTGTAAATTTTGGATCCAATTGGGCGTCGGACATGCCCACGCTGTGCCGCATAGTGAAGGGCTGTGGTGAGGTACTTGTTGGTCTGGCGGTGCGTGTCGGTAGATCTGCGGGTTGTTACCTGTAACAACCCCTTATTTAATCAAGAGAACATAGCATGGAATGAGATGCAAATGACGTGTCCGCTGCACCAGTCATGTACAACGCAATAACACTAGTAAATATCATGAGATGATGACTATTGCTATTACTATTGTTATTTGACTCATAATGACAATCGTAAATATAACGCAGTAGATGATGATCGATGAATCCCCCATTTTTTTTTAGTGCCCAGTTCGCACGGGCATGCAAACTCCACCAGTTCGATGATTTTCCCACTAAAAACACCTCCATTCATAGGGGATTTTTGATATGTACCATTGCTGGTTGGTGGTTTCAACCCCTCTGAAAAATATTAGTCAGTTGGGATGATTATTCCCAATATATGGAAAAATGTTCCAAACCACCAACCAGTAGGGGATTTTTGCTATGTACCATTGCCATGTTTGATTACTGATCGGTTATTTTCACCACGTGGGATTCTTATTGAGATATTCTGAGATTTGTGGGGCCCAAGAAACACAAGTGCCAGGTGGTGCACCATAGTCGTCCACGTTTCTTGAATTGTATACTCGTTGGCTTTATCATATTATAGATCATTACACCCATCAAAAACATAAGTCAACAACAATATCTTCCGCTAAATCACCATTTAAGATGATGTGAATCTGTTTAAAGTACCATAACTGGTTGGTGGTATACCTACCCATCTGAAAAATATGAAAGTCAGTTGGGGTTACTATTCCCAATATATGGAAAATAATCCAAATGTTCCAAACCACCAACCAGATCATTATTAACCATTATTCATAATTTTGACAGCCATCATTGTCATCCACTACTGATCACTAATGATGCTTGTAAACCCCCTCATTAATGGCATAACAAAATACCCAGCAGCGGCGTGGGGCGGTTTGAACCCAAAACCTGTGTTAAACGATACGACTGAACAAGAGTTCACGTAGATCGTCGATCATCTGCCCAAGGGTCCTCGAGTTCCCGGTTTGCAAAGATGATAAAAGCGATCGCGTGAAGAGCACGGTCGTCCCCTTGCCCCTGGGACTTCAGAGTATCAAAGCAAAGCTCCAAGTCACTCTCGACGACTCGCCTCCACTCTGCTTCAAAAACAGTCACTGTGGGGTCGTCCATCACCTTGATCATTACCTCCCGGACAGTCTCGCTCAGCCGGTAGGAAACACTGTGCTCGATTGTGATGACTTCACCCATGAGACTTACCGTGGTGGACGAGCGTTCCCTTCTCACGAAGCGGAAGTTGGCATTTTCGCTGGAAATCGCCATATTCCCCGGACCAACCAGATCATTATTAACCATTATTCATACTTAATTTTGACAGCCAGCATTATCATCCACTAACGATCATTAATGATGCTTATAAAATCCACCATTTCTCGTTGAAGTCCGACACCAACCAACTTTTCACGGGGCGCAAAGAAAAATTGTCACCCGGAGCACCTGTCGCACATCAGTGGAACGATCCTTCAGCAGCGCCTCAAGTGATGAAGGGAGGGACAAAAATGTGGGAATATACTCCAGCTATGTATATGTATATATATATATATGGCCCCTTTATAGATGGTTTACCTATAAAAATGGTGATTTTCTATATATATATGTATACATCTGGTTGGTGGTTTCATATAGTTAATCTACTGATGGTTAATGGTAGTTTAATGGGATTTAATGATGATTTATACTGGTTGGTGGTTGAGCCCTACCCCTCTGAAAAATGATGGAGTGAAAGTCAGCTGGGATGATTTTCCATTCCCAATATATGATGGGAAAGTCATAATCCATTCATGTTCCAAAGCACCAACCACCACCAACCAGTCCAGGTATATCTAATTTCCGATCATTTCACTATGTCCCAGCTATATATGAGCCAACTAGTTTAGTACATATCCACATTACAGGATGGTGCAAACCCCAGTGATGTGAACGTTGGTTGAGATTCACCCCAGGAATAGTATAGTTGTTTGCGTACTGGAGTGATTAGTTCACCAACTGAATGCGTTTTCGTAAACGGGCGCACCACCTTGTATCAACTACTTCAATTTCTGGCTGAATAAGAGTAAGTGGCAAACCGGGGGCCTCAAGCATGGCTGGAAAATCCCGGCACCCAGTACCTCGTTGGGTTATTTTAGGGTGATTCCCCATGCCTGAATTAAACCACCATATTTGTTGGCTAGATCCCCGATTGAATTTCGCTGGATTATGGGATTTGCCATCAAGTCTCAACATCTCAGAAAAGTAGATCAATTCCCAAAACACTTAAAAACCATCTCACAGGCAAAAAAACCCATTAAATCACCTGCCATGTATTGATTGAAATCACCCTTACACAGAAAAACGGTCCCGTGCGCCTCAATGATGCGTGTGCGGCCATTGAAGGCAGCCACCATCTGGCGGGATGTGACACATGAAGAATCACAACATGTTGGGTTTATGATGGATGTAGCCATAAACAATCACCATTTTTCAGTTCGGTCAACCATCTATTTCTATCGGCCATCTATACCATGGCTATGTTAGTCATAACCAGAGGGTATCATATGAAGAATGGTAGTTTAACAATGACACAGGCCAAATATATTGGGGGATTTACCCTCAAATGGGTTATTTACCCTTTTTTAAGGGATCAATCCTTACTGTTTGAAGGTACATTTTCTGTCTCTGGTTGTGTGCAATGAAAAATACCCTTCAAAGTCGTGGACGCTCATCAACAAGGGGTATACAACGAAACATTCGATGGGGAGACAATTGGAATGCAATGGAAGATACTGCAACGTCGTGTCCCGCCGTTGTGTTTGTTGGTTATGTCAAAGTCAACCCATCTAGCTATAGATATATATGATATATCCATCATAAACCCTGCAGTTATCTTTTTTCGACCCAGTTTGGGGTTTCCTGCAGTTTTTTGGGACTTCCGGTACTTTTCCGAATTTTCTTGCGGGGGACGGGAGAAGACACGGATTCTTGGGGTTTCTTGCATATTTTTTCTTCTTGAAGCCAGCTCCGGGGGGGATCAGCGACCCTTCGGACATCAGCATTACCATTGCCAAATTTGGATACCCTGCCAGAGAACCGCTTTCTTTGCTGAATCAGTAATGATCAGTATGTTGTATCTAGAGTTGCCGCACAATCTCATGCAAGAAAATTTCCTTTCGCAAGGTTTAGCACCCATTTTTGAAGGTGGATTCCCATCTCGTGTTGGGATGGGGGATCCATCCCCGATAGGCGAAGAGAAGCCAGCCGCTTTGAAAACCTAACATGGTCCAGATGGTGCATCTTGGGTAAAATGAAATTACAAATTGGCAAGGCAAAATTTTCTGACTTGAAAAACCCTGGTTGGAATGGTCCGGGAAGCATTCATCCAAGCGTCAGGAGCCTTAGCGCTGTAGATGCTGGAGCTTTGGGTGCAGGTTGGCCGCATTGAGGTGAACGCAGTTAGTCTCAAGGTCGGGCCATCTGACTGCGCCTTTTCGAGGAAAGCTTAAATTTTGATCAAAAAAACTTGCCATCATTTCAAGCCCATGATTTTTCATTACCATTATCTACCATCATTCAGAATCCCAAATCTTTGATGGCTATTCCATATGCTGACCACAGGCCAGGACCACCAGAGGGGTTGCGCCACAGGCGTCTGCAGCATTGGTACCTGGGAGCATCCCGGGGCTGACATTCACATTTTTGTTCCGAAATCATAAGGATGTAACCAACAATACTTGGAGGATCAATGGTTCGTAACTGGGCCTAGTCCACGCATTTATACAGATACAAGACTGAGTTTGGACAGGGTTATCTTAGTCTGCCAAATTCACCTTGCTGCAGGGTGACACCATGTCATGGGCATGTGCCAAGGTGCATATAAAAAACATCGAAAATCATTACGGAAAAGCGACTGACATCTGCCCGCTTATTCTTGCAAAATTTAGCGCCCACGCCGAACTCTATCCTTTATTCTTAGCATGTCCTGGAATAAGTTGCATATCCTCTGATTTTCATTCTCAGTGTTTTATCTCTCGGACTATTTGGGGTATGGGAGATGAGACAAACAATCCCCCTAGACAGCTTAGAATATAAAACAATTAAAACTGGCGCCGTGCAATGTAGAGTATGGTACTAGCGTTGCTTGCATTGACCAGCATTTTGACCGTACAAAAGTGAATGGGTACATGGAAAGACTAGCAATTGACCAAAACAATTGTATATCAGTATATCAAGATTTCCTAAGTCATGTGGCTACCCCAACATGATAAAATGGTTGGTTTATTTCAGGGAAAAACCATCTATAAATGGATGATAACTGGTAGCCCTATGACTTAGGAAAACCCCATTTGTTGGTCGCAACTTGTGACTTGAGCCTCCCGACTAACCCGCAAACCCAACAACTTCTCTGCTAAACGCTCATGGCCATCCTGGATGTTGGGTGGGTTTGCCCGGCAGCTTCAAAGATGGGAGCAGGACTTCAGATCAGAGAAGCGGCCCAGGAAGAAGTGGATTTGAACCACCAGGGATTTGATGGAACAGACACTGGGATTGAAGATGTATAACAACCAACAATCATGAGATAGCACTTGAACTCAAGTTGGGTTTGTCTGAACAGGGTATCCTACTGTCATGGCATGCTTAAGAACCTCATTTTCCAAGGGTCCATCCCCCATTTCTGGGTACCCATTTCTGCACGTTGGAACATCCGGCCTTACTGCTGGGATTTGCTGAACAACTTTTCATGGTGGATTTCCCAATGGGAAAACAGAAGAGATCTCCCATATGGATGATGATATCTCCGTTATATGCCAAAGAGGGCAAGCAAGTTTAAGTTAATTAAGCCTCAAAAATCATTTGGTTGGTGGTTTCAACCTACCCCTCTGAAAAATATGAGTGAAAGTCAGTTGGGATGATTATTCTTCCCAATATGATGGGAAAGTCATAATTCATTCATGTTCCAAACCACCAGCCAGTCATCAGTCTTATTCCCATGTCATCTTCGAACATCATTTTTTCAGCCCCCATGATGCTCCCAATATGATTTTCCCGTAGACTCGGCAGATTTGTTTTTAAGTTTTCAGGCTTATAATTTATAGTCCATACGTCTCCCATGCAAATCATCGGCTTTCATCAGTTACATCCTCATTGTATCACTGAAAATCTCATTCAATCCCCATTCAGCATTAAAACAACTTTTGTTTGTGGCTTGCTTGGATGTGCATCCCAATTTAAAAAGTGCTTAATAATCATAATATCATATTCACCCTAGTATAAGACACTTATATAAATTATGTATATATATATACACAGAGAACATATGGAAATATCACCATTTATGGCTTATTAATGACTTTTTAAACCACCTACGATGACTGGGATGCACCCATACGAGTTTGTTGCTGTACCAATAATGTTTTCATTTTTCTTGGTGAATTCCCGTAAAACAAATCGCCATTCGAACGTCGGTGATATATTCTGGATAAGACCATGTTACCATACCATACCATACCATACCATAGAATGTGGTGCCCCCCAGTTATAAGTTGGTTTATAAACCCCAGTAACTATAGTTATTTGCGTACAATAAACCATAGTGAAATTGGAGTTATGTGCACCAAATTAGGTATCGACCGGGGGCATCAGCTTGTACCATACCCAAACGACCGCCTGTGCAGCCCAATGTAGCGGCGTCCACCTAGGATGGCCATGGTGACACATCAGAAATGCATCTGCTTAACGTCCGAGTCCGAGCAGCTATGGACAATCACAATTTTTTGGAAATTAAATAGCTTTTTAAATGGTCGATTCACATAGCTATCGCAAAATCACCATAGATAGATAGATAGGTAGGTAGATAGATAGATAGGTGGATAGATAGATAGATAGATAGATAGATAGATAGACAGACAGACAGACAGACAGACAGACAGATCCATATAGTAGGTAAATCATCATGGGTAATCTTTAACTGGGCGATTTCCAAAGCTGTGTTCATCAACCAGAGGCTATAGGAATGGTACAAGGTGGGCCATATGTGCGATGGTTAAGTTACATACGGGGGTCATGAATCCCATAACGGGAATTCTTACATGGCTATGATCATACTGCTAATTGGAATATATCTTAACCATTGGGTATGATTATATCCCTATCAATATGATTAAATAACATACCATTAATCCACTATGATTAAATATATTAATTGAATACCCATCATGATCATAGCCTATAATCATATCCCTATGAATAGTTGAATATAGTGCGCACATTGGGGATATGATCATACAAAAAACCCTACCTCCCCCGAAGGGTGAGGAGAATTTAAACCTCAAGTGTTGATACAAGGCGGGCAGCCCAATGACGAATGGAACTGTTGGTCTATGGAAGGGATTTTTTTGCTACAGTTGGCTGGGTGAACATAAACCAACACGTTGGACCTATATAACTGGGGTGTTTTTTTTTAAAATATCAGTTTCACTGAACACGTTGATAAGCATTACGTCGGTGATGATAAACCTAGCGATCAGAAAAAAAGCAATGATACCCTCTGGTTATTCAGCATAGCCATGGAAAATCACCATTTTCAATAGGTAAACCATCTATAAATGTGCCATTTTCCATGGCTATGTTAAAGAACCAGAGGGTAACAATTCTCATCATGACGGTAATGATATGGATCATGGCCCAGATTCTAGGCTACATGAGAACATAGGAACATAGGAACATGACCGACGGCAAACAGGTCACCTCCCAAAGGCGCTTGCGCGAAGGTCTTCTGCCTTGGCTCCATCCACATGGTGATCTTTTGACGAGAACCCATCCAGGTCTCCTCACCAATCCTTGTCCTTCTGGTGTGCGGCATGGTCTGCCTTATCCTGGTAGCGTGACACCCGGTACAAAAACGACGAAAATTGGTCAGTGATATCACGCATGATATGTGGGATATCTTGGGTGAAATACTCGTGAAATCCTAGATTCTGTGAATTTCTTGGGTGAAACAGTTATATCAGTAATATTTTTTAGCGATATTTAACCATGGATTTAACCAATATTAATCTTAACCATGGAATACCCTCCATGATAACCCTATATCATATATATACAAGGTGGTGCCCCCCAGTTATAAGTTGGTTTATAATCCCATTAACTATAGATATATCACCAACAAAAACCATAGTTATTGGAGTTATGTGCACCAACTTAGCTATCGACCGGGGGCACCACCTTGTATATACATATCTCAGTTATATCCTCCATGAACAGCTTAAGTGATAAGCCATGAACCGACCGCCTCGAGGGGGTCGCGGCCGCGCACGTCATCCTTCAAGCATTCCAGGAGATCTTCCTGGGGGCTATAGATTTCACCCAAACATTGGGGGACTTTGATGGTTATCAGAGCTGGATGTATGGGGAAAAAAGGGAAAATTGAAACAGCATGAAGTAAATATGGGGGGCTTTCCTGCACAATTTCCCTTAAATCCATCCATTGACTATCATCGCCGGATGGATTGGGATCCAGCTACCCCTAAAAAGAGGTCATAGTCATTCATGGTGAATGGGATGTAAGGGCAATGTTGATATGGCGAGATTTAAGCAACAAAACTGGTGATAAGTCTTAATACCCAAAAAATTGTTTGAGAAGGTTTTTATGGTGATTTAACCAATAGAACTTGAGAATTTAGGCCTAAAACTTGTTATTTCATGGGGCTTAAGCAACAAACATATGGTTGTAGTGGTTTAATGGGATTAAGAAAAAACATCCATTCTACTATAATATATAATATTATAACCGTTGACAATGATATAAGATGATATATGGATATATAATGATATATATGTATATGGCTATACTTAATTTTGGGAAACCCGATTTTGCCAAAGACACCCGAATTGGCGGTGAACGAACTAGTGCAACAGAAATATCCAATCCTATCATAACAACAACAACCAGCAGCGCCTCATTCGTGACGAAGGGAGGAACAAAAATGTGGGAATTTCTGGGATTTACTGATGGTTAATGGTAGTTTAATGGGATTTAATGATGATTTATACTGTTTGGTGGTTGAGCCCTACCCCTCTGAAAAATGATGGAGTTCGTCAGTTGGGACGATGACATTCCCAATTAGCATGGGAAAAAAGTTCCGAACCACCAGCCAGTAATTGACATATCAAATTTTGGATCAAATATTTATCAGCATATCTATCATTGAACCCATCATATCCACAAAATGCTTGATACCCCAACTTCGTCCACTCTTCCAACTGACCTCCCATCAAGACTATCCTCCCTCAAATTATCATGTCTTGATTTGGAGATGGGTCAAAACCTAGTTTGGATACTTTTGGGGGATGAGCATCCATAAATCCAAGCTGTTTTCGCGTTCACCGTAAGGGTTTTGACCAGCCAAACACGTGATGGCCTCATCGACTTCGCCGCATCGCAAGAGCTTCATCAAATCCTGCGAGAAAATTTGAAGGTTTGAAATGGAGATATCACCTAAAACTGGAGATTTCAACCGGACTTCAGTTAGTTATGGTGACTTAGTTGGACTTTCACCGAAAACTGCTGATTTATGGTGATTTTTGCCTTCAACCAACAAATATCGGGGTTTCAACGGAAAACGACTGGTAGATTTGCGATCAAAAGGTTTACTGGGTCAATTGTTCTAATTCACAAACCCAAAAAGCTGGGCAATTCTTGGATAATTACGAGTATCTTTACAATGCCCACCATTTCTAGCCACGTCGAAGTTGTTGTAACCCACCTAGATCAATTTCTGGATCAATTTCTGGGAACATTTTGGGACCTCGTCTTCTTGATGGATATTGGAGAGTTTCTAATGGGGAAGCCAATGATTTGGGTGACCCCACTGTTGAGAAACAGCCATATGGGAACTTTTCAGTTCGATGAAAAGATAAGAAAGTGCCGGGACTTGTTATGTGTACTTGTTGCTTTAGCTGGATATTCTTTCTCGCTGATAGCTTTAGGCATTAACCCATCACCAAAGTTCCCTACCCGTCAATGTGGTTCATAATTTCAAGAGCTACCCCATCTCGATGATTGAAACCTCCATTTTTGATGGTAGAATTCTCCCAACCCTACCCCACCATTCATCCAGCTTCCCCTCCTGTCGCCCCTCAAACGGCATGGCGCAAAGGCAACGCGATTCACACCTTTGTTGTGACCTATCGGACCTGCGCAGGAATACTTGGGTTTTTGACTGTCCATGGTTTGATTGTGGCTTCATCAATTCCCATGGCTGTTATCCTCTTCTGGCAACTCTGACACATCTGAAATTCCAGCTTGATGCACACATGCATCTGGCGGGTGAGGATGTGGACATGCTTGAAACACCGCTTCAACATCTTTGCTACCCATGGAGGCCTTTTTCTGAACCAATTCTGCGAAGTGCAATCCAAACGGGTCCCAAACACGTGGCGTGAGAAATGCTGCCGGTTTGAAATTCTGTGAACTCTCAGAAGAACGTCCAAACCCTGCTTGGGGGTGCAGTTGTATGTGGCTATATCTATTTATGTATATAATATATACATAAACAAGTATATACATATATGTATATCATATCATATCATATATATATATATCATATATATAAATATATATCTATATATATATAATATATATATGATTGTAGAAGTTATACATATCCGAACTTATGGAGGTTTGAATCCGATGGTTATACCAAGTTTTCCAGCTGAACTGCACCCAAGTGCAGAATCAGTTTTCGATTCACCAGAAATAATCCAGGACCACCCAGTTGTTCCTACCATTGGTTGTCTGTTTCAATTCAACTTTGCCCTATGTGGCTCGGAGGTTCATCACCATTATCAAAAACTATACCCCTATGGCCGTTCCCACAATTTATATGGGGATTTTCTAAGTCAGGTTACCAAGTCATCCGAGTCGATCATGGTGACGGCTGATCCGCCATGACTCGAGCTCCAGCCATGGTATTTCCGGATCTCCTCAAGATCACCTTTTTTGGGCGTCAAGATAGTGACAGTCCCCTCCAATAGAAGGAGGATATGAGGATAGTAAAGGCCTATGAAAGCACTATGAAATCCCAAATGCCGCATTGAAATCCCCAGAAAAATCTCCAATTCCTATGAAATCTCTAATGATAACCCGATTATAATAGTCCGATGAAAAGTTAATCATCAATCGACATGGGTCTTGATCATTGTCTTCGGGCAGCGAAACAAAACCGTGAAAGATCACGACAGTTGAAACATCCCGAGACCAGAACCTGGTATCCCAATTGATGCCATCCTTGTGCACACAGCCCCAGATATAGTGATTCTAACACCATTATAACTACAACTTATTTTGATGTTTAAGATCTCTGGAAAAAATGGGATTCCAAGTAAGTTGGTTTCCGGGAAACCCACATGCGGCCCTTTTGGACACTCTTCGGCGCACCTAGTGATCAAAAGGGGTGAAACCACAAACTGCGGACGGACACAAAGCCATTCAAAAATTAACACAAGAATTGTTCTGCTCTGGTAAATGATGATCATATCATCATATCTCCATGTTCACCAGCATTTCCCTACCACACTCAGTTTGTAACCATGAAAATGGTATACCGTCCCGCCAAGCTTGCACACATCTTGATCAACTCATGGTAGGGTCCAGCTGTTAGTTGAGGGCATGGCATCTCCATTTCCATCTCTTAACATGTCTCTACTGAGTAGACATTGACATGGGTGTGTCAATGGGACACAGCCCCAAAATGCAACTTTTTCCCCACATCTTTGTGTGGGGTTCTTGTTTTTGGTTCTGCACTCCTGCCTTCTCCTGCACTCCTCCTCCTCCCGCCGCCCTCCTCCTCCACATCATCCACATCACACACACAACTCTACTCACACACCTTGTCGTCAACTTGTCATCACAACAACTTGCTAACACACACACAATTCAACTCACACATCACACAACTCTACACACACAACTCTACTCACACAACTCTACTCCCACTGCTACTTGTCCACGCAACTTGTCATCACACAACTTGTCATCATACATCTTGCTTACGCACAACTCTACTCACACACCTTGTCGTCAACTTGTTCTACTCCCACTGCTACTTGTCCACACAACTTGTCATCACACAACTTGTCATCATACAACTTACTCACACACAACTCTACTCACAAACCTTGTCGTCAACTTGTCATCACAGAACCTGCTCACACGCAACAACTTGGTGACATCGACTTGCTCACACAACTTGCTCACACAATCGTTTCACGTGGCAGGCGTGGTACTTGGTGACATCGACTTCCACTTTGCGTGGCAAGCGTGGCACTTATGGCACTGGACTGGCTCCGGTGGCGCGCTTGGGTCCCAGTTGACGCCGTGGCTGCCGCGGCTGTTGGCGTGGCAGGCGTGGCACTTGGAGACATCGAGCGTCGATTCTGTGTGGCAGGTGCGGCACTTGGCGACATGTACGTGCATTCTGCGTGGCAGGCGTGGCACTTATGGCACTGGGCTGTCTGCAGAGCGGCGCGCTTGGGTCCCAGTTGACGCCGTGGCCGCCGCGGCTGTTTGCGTGGCAGGCGTGGTACTTGGCGCCATCGAGCGTCGATTCTGCGTGGCAGGTGCGGCACTTGGCGACATGTACGTACATTCTGGGTGGCAAGCGTGGCACTTGGAGACATCGAGCGTCGATTCTGCGTGGCAAGTGTGGTACTTGGCGACATCGAGCGTCGATTCTGCGTGGCAGGGGTGGCACTTATGGAAATGGGCCGGCTCTGGTTGCGCGCTTGGGTCCCAGTTGACGCCGTGGCAGGCGCAGCTGTTTGCGTGGCAGGCGTGGTACTTGGCGACATCGAGCGTCGATTCTGCTTGGCAGGTGCAGCACTTGGCGACATGTACGTGCATTCTGCGTGGCAGGCGTGGCACTTATGGCACTGGGCTGGCTCTGGTGGCGCGCTCGGGTCCCAGTTGACGCCGTGGCCGCCGCGGCTGTTTGCGTGGCAGGCGTGGTACTTGGCGACATCGAGCGTCGATTCTGCGTGGCAGGCGTGGCACTTGGCGACATCTACGTGCATTCTGCGTGGCAGGCGTGGCACTTATGGCACTGGGCTGGCTCTGCAGAGCGGCGCGCTTGGGTCCCAGTTGACGCCGTGGCCGCCGCGGCTGTTGGCGTGGCAGGCGTGGTACTTGGCGACATCGAGCGTCGATTCTGCGTGGCAGGTGCGGCACTTGGCGACATGTACGTACATTCTGGGTGGCAAGCGTGGCACTTGGAGACATCGAGCGTCGATTCTGCGTGGCAGGTGTGGTACTTGGCGACATCGAGCGTCGATTCTGCGTGGCAGGCG